AGGGAAGTGCCGTCCAGACGACAGGGGAGAAGCTGAGCACAGAGGTGGGGTGTTTGGGACTGACAGGGGAGAAGCTGAGCACAGAGGTAGGGTGTTTGGGACGGAGGGGTCGGCTTTGATTTCATAGGGATGACCGGGCATGAAAAGCTGACGGTGAGGAGCCCTCGGAGGAAGGTGACACTCTGGCAGCCAGGACAAAGGCGGGGGTTCCGGGGAAGGGAGGGAATGGGGAGGGGTCCAGGACCGGGAGGTTTGGGGATGCGGGCTGGAGGTCGATCCCGTCTGGTTCTCAGTTGTTCTTCTGTGGCCTTAATGAACTCGGCGGCTCACTCCCAGCTGCTTTGGGTTCAGTTATAAATGGGGTCGCCTTCCGGGTTTGCCCAGGGGCTGGTCGTGCTGGTGTAGAGGGCGGGAAGCGCCTGCTTGTTGGCACTCAGCCCTACCCGGCCACGCGGGGACCCTGACAGTCCCACCAGTGCGTTTCCCGCTGCACGTGGTGACCTCACCTTCCCGGGGATGTCTCTCTCCAGCCTCCTCCTCCCTCTCCACTTTCTTGGCCCAAACCCACCCTCCGTGTCTCCACCGATCTCCTCTCCTCCCCCGGCCTCGTGGGAACATCGCACCTTCTCTTTCTAAGAATTCCCTTTGTTCACACAGCCTCCTGCCCACCGGAAGGTGGAAGTAGCTCCATCAGGGCTGTGATGCCAGACGTGGGGGTCACACTGGGACCCGCTTTTCACACACGACAGCTGTGCCGAGTCTCCCCAGCCCCCCCCCCCCCCCCCCCCGCCTCCAGGTGAGGCTGTGCCATGTTTGCCAATCCAGCCCCCGGCCACTCCGTCTGTGTGGTGATCTCCTCGTCCGATCGCTCCCTGGGGGTAGACTCTCGAAGTGAAGCTATTGAGCAAAAGTGATCCCCAGTTACAAACGGCACAGAAGTTGCCAACTGGCATTCCAGAAAGGCTGTGCCGGCTTGTACCCACCGAGAGCAAACGAGAATAGCAGTTCCCGAGCCTGCCAACAGCGGATGTTGAAAATCTTTGCCGACGGGGTGAGCGAGGGTCCTCGTCCCGGTCCGCGTTCCCTTGGTTACCAGGGAGGCTGAGCATCTTGGCTGTGCACGGCCACGTGCGGTTTCTTTTTTGGGGACTTGCTTCTTCGCTCCTTATACTGATGCTTCTGCTGGCGTGGTGCTTACAGCAGTCTTATCTCTGACAGGTTACAGTGACCTTCTCCCACCTGGTGGGGTGACGTTTTTGCTCTGTGATGTTTTCCTCTGCGGAGGTTTGCCGGGGGCGCCTTGTGTGGCTGCTCGGACTTTCTGCCTCCGTTAATGTTTGTTCTTGGAGATGTTCTTGTTTGGTGGTTTCTCTGTTTATTTCATGTGGTAACCCACCTGAGAGGTGTTCTGCTGCGGGGATCCAGGTGGGCGTCCTGTTTCATTGGTTTCTGACGGCTGCTGCACACAGTGGGTCAGCCTCTGCACATAGTAGGTCAGCTGCTGCCCCCCCAACCCCCACCCCCAGGTGTGAACTTCCCATGTCCGTCCTCGGTGTTTGGATTTTCTCTTCCGTCTCATTGATCTGTTGAGCAGCCCGATTTTTATCCCTAAGGAGAGAGACATAAACTTCCAGCTTGAAGTTTTCAAACCAGATTTTCTTTCCTAAACGAAGAAGATAGATTTCCTGTCTGAGGATGGCAGCTACTGTCTGGAGGATCCCACAAGACCCTGTGGGATGACCCTCCACCCCAGCCCTCTGGCATGTCCTCATCCCTTCTTCCTGCTCAATCAAATCCCACCCATGGCTGCAAACCCAAACCTTTATTTAACCTACAGACAGCTGCAGGCCACCTCCTCCAGCCACGCCAGGTGCCAGGGCAGCCACAATCCCGGTGCCCGTCTTCATCACTGCGATGCCTTCTCTGAGATTCCCACCTGGAAGCGGGGAGGGCAGCACCCCCGCTGTCATCCCTGCGCTGGCAGGTTCCTGGCCTCAGTGCCTCGGGTCTGCGCTGTGGTCACTGGCGGGAAGCAGGGACACGCCTGGGGAAGCTGGGACGTGTGGACACACCGCGTGCTGGGCGTTATCTGTCCGCAGTCCTGACAGCATCCCTGGGAGGTGGCCCATTCTTACGGTCCTCGCACACCAGGTCGGGGGACGGAGACAGAGAGTCACCTGGCCAGGGTCCCACATGGGGAAGGAGCAGAGCAGCCGGCAGCTGTCCTGGACAGACCACATGCCAGGGTGGACATCCAGGGGCCGTGGGGCTGGGGTGTCACCCCATGTGGCCCAGAACCGCCCTCCTGCCCAGCCTGTGGCCTCCAGGGAAGACGTAGAGCAACCTTCCAGCTGCTGCTGTCAGAAGCTTCCTGGGTGAAGACTGGGGAGCGCCAGTCATTTGCATCGGGCCCTGGGTTTGCGTCGGACGCTGGTCATTTGCATCAGCCCTCGCCCAGCCTGTGGCCTCCAGGGAAGACGTAGAGAAACTCCCAGCTGTTTCTGTCAGAAGCTTCCCAGGTGAAGACGGGAGTGCCGGTCATTTGCATCGGATGCTGGGTTTGCATCGTACCCTGGGTTTGCGTCGGACGCTGGTCATTTGCATCAGCCCTGGGTTTGCATCGGGCCCTGGGTTGCATCTCAGCAGCAGAGCCTTGGATGACCCGCCTGCTGGGGCTGAACCGAAAGCAGCCGCAGATGGCACTGGGCTCATCTTTGCCAATCAGGAGAAGGGGAATGCACAGCCATCTGTGTGCTGTGTTGGCATCGGACTCTAACTTCTTTATCAGAATGATGAACTTTGTTAGTTACCGTATTTTTTTAAAAAAAAATATTTTTATTCATGTCAGAGAGGAAGGGAGAGGGAGAGAGAGAAACATCAATGATGAGACAGAATCACTGATGGGCTGCCTCCTGCAGGCCTCACACTGGGGACTGAGCCCGCAACGCAGGCATGTGCCCTGACCGGGAATTGAACCGTGACCTCCTGATTCATAGGTCAACGCTCAACCACTGAGCCACGCCGGCCGGGCTCGTTACCGTATTTTATTAAATCTGAGGAGGATCCCATCAATCGAGAGACCCATTGTACTGCTAGAGAGAGGGCGGTAACACTGCCGGACACATGGTGACAGGGTTAGGCTGGAAACGCACACCGTGGGTTCAGAAATGTTAAAAGTGAAGAAATGTGTGCCTTCACTCAGGATGGTGATGGAGGATGCTCACCTGCTTCCTTGTTGGCGGCCATGTCCAAGGGCTGGCTCTGTGCTGGGCACGGGGGTGAGAGATGGTCGCTGTGCCCTCGCCCCAGAGCACGCAGACGGGGCGGGTCTTCGGACGCGCTGACGGAACGGGTGGTCGATGGACGGGCTCGTTCGATCACCAGATGCTCTCTAGCATCTGCTGTTGCCAGGCGCCGGGGACCCCGCAGTGAACAGAACTACTCTGGGAGCCGACTTTCCATGGCCACCCGTCGGCCCAGCGGCAGCTCCCAGACGCGACTGTGCAGAAGCATTTACGCGCGGACGTTCCGACTGCCAGGCCCACTCGGTCTGGGCGGGACCCAGGCATCTGCATTCTCACCAGCACCTGGGAGGTCCGGGCAGGAGGACGTCAGACCGAGAGTGAGAGACGGCGCTTCAGTCCATGGCTTCCCAGCCCGCAGCATCCAGACGCGGACAGATGCGGCCGGCCTCACACTGGGGACTGAGCCCGCAACGCAGGCATGTGCCCTGACCGGGAATTGAACCGTGACCTCCTGATTCATAGGTCAACGCTCAACCACTGAGCCACACCGGCCAG